TGTACCAGGGATCAAATCCAGGACCTTCCATGTGCCAGGCAGGTGCTTATGCCACTGAGCTATCTCCCTGGCCCATGTAGCCGACTTTTAATGTTTCTTATATGATAACATTACTCTTCATGGTAAAGACTTCTCTGAGCTTTGACAAGTGGCTACATAATCATATTCTCCACAATTAAGAACAGAACCATCACAATTTAATTTTTTCCACTGAGCCATCTCCCCAGCCCCTACAATTTAATTTTTTAATAAGATGTATACTAGGCTTTTCTCATAATTATGTGAAGAAATCCCTCGAGTCAGTGTTGCAGGATATTCAGTCACATGCATATACTGTAATTCATTTACCCTCCCCCACTGATGGATATAGGTGCCAGATTTTTGCCTTTCCAGACCAATATTGCAACAACTATACAGTGCTTCCACATAGATACTTGCACCCTTCCAGATTTCTTTTCCTTTTTTTTTTTTTTTTTTTTTTTTTTTTCCAGAACTGGGGATTGAACTGAGGCCCTTGCGCTTGCCAGGGAAGTGCTTATTCCACTGAGCCATCTCCCCGGCCCCCACCCTTATAGATTTCTACAAGATTGTATTCCTACAAGATTGCATTTCATTGGATCCAAAGATTGTGTATTTTTATTGTCATAGATAGTATGTTGCTAAATTATTCTCACAAGTATAGGCCAGTCTACACTACAACCTGCAGTCCACCAGCAATCCTCTCCCAATTGGGCATCATCAGACGTTTAAATATCCAGCAGTCTGCATGCTAGAAAAAAATTGTAACTTGTTTTAATTTTCCTTGCTCTGATTGCTCATGAACCTGCCCTTTTGTATAGATTTATTGAATATTTTTGCTATAAACTGCTTGTGAATGCCCTTAATCTTTTATTCTCTTTTATCTTTTCTCTCCAGTGCTTATAAGATCATTTTCCTTTTTAAAAAATTGTCATATATGTTGCAAATATATCTCCCAGTTTACCCCTTGCTTTTTATACCAGCATAAGAATAGATACATTAGGGGTGGGTAGATAGCTCAGTGGTCTAAGCACTTGCACTTGCCTAGCAAGCTCAAGGACCCAGGTTTGATCCCCCGTATTGTATGCCACACCAGCCCAGCCCTGGGCATGCCATGCAGACCACCAAACCAGGCACACACTGCACTGGGGAGGCTGAGACAGGAGGATCACTATGAGTCTGAGCTGCATACTCAGACCCTGTACCAAATAAATAAATAAAAGATTAAAAACATAGATAGATTAAATCAACAAAACAGCACAGAAAGTCTATAAGTAAAGCCACATGTGCATAAAAGCTTTGTTGGACTAGAAGAGGGAGACTAGTAAGCCATAAATTCAAAGGATAAACTGTGTTTAATAACAATGAAGTTTATGCCATTTGGAAAATTAAAGAAAAGCTTGCTCCAGTCTCCTTACAGTAAAATAAATTTCATGTAAATCAGACCTAAATATACAAACAAAAATAAAATCACAAAAATTCTAGAATATTTTTGAGTGGAAAAGACCTTTTAGGCAAACATATGGAAAGACATAAGGAAAAGGTTGATAATTTTAACCATACACAAAAAGTTTTATATTTTATGCCAAAAAAAAAAAATTAGAATTATCCGTGGTGTGTGATTTTCCATGGTCTCCCTGTGGCATGAGATTGATCTTGATGATTTTCCTCATGAGTCCTAGAGGGGCAGTGCCCCTGCAGGGACTGTGAGGCCCAGGAAAGAGCTACAGCTGGGGGCAGAAGGCACCACAGGCTCTGCCTCCCCCTCCTCTTTCCTGCACCCCTAGCCCGTGCTGAACAATGGTCAGGACCTGAGCCAGGGCCCCAAACTGCATGGCCCAGGAGCCCGAAGGCCCTCTCTGCTGCCTCAAGGCTGCCAGCCCTTCCTGCCCTCTGGCCAGGAGACCTTGGCCTGGAGCCCCATGAGGGAGCTGGACCCCGGATCCAGCCTGAAATCTGCCCTGGACAGCCGCAGCCCTGGGGATCAGGGTAAGTGTCCAAAGGTTTGGGACCTGATTAGGGACAAGGAAGAATCCCACTTTGTGGCCCAACTACAGATGGCAAACCGAGAAGGCCAAGGCCGGGTCCCTTGTTGAGGGTTTGCCTTGGCCTACCCTGCCTGGGGACCCCACCACCCCACTGTCCTCGTAGAATCTGCCCTTGGACTGCTGAAGAGGAGCAGCTCCACTGTCTGCCCAGCCCATCCTATAACCCAGCCCTCGTTGGTTTCCTGGAAGATGGATCTGTCCATCTCTTAGGGACAAGGCCGTGTTACACAGCTGTCTCAGGAAAGCTGTTTGCTCCCTGGAGCGCAAGAGGGGTCGTACTTGTTTAGGAACGAACGGACTGCCCCTGAAGAGAGAGGATGAACTGCGGAAGGGGGCTGAGCTCCCCTCGCAGGGTCAGGGCTCCACCCCCTTGGCCCTCCACCCACAGAACCGTCCTATCGCCCCTCCGCCTTCGAGACCGAGACATCTTCGGACTGGGAGCCCACAGCTGAGTGTGAGGAGCAGGCCAGTCCCGGCAGGCCCAGCACCACCCCAGGCCCGGTGTTGGGAAAAGCCTTGGTTAAAGGCCTGCGCGAAGGCCAACGCGTGCAGTGGGAGGTGAGCTTCGAGTTGGGACCACCCGGCCCGGAGCCGGGCAGCGTGCGGGACGCTGACTTGTGGAGTGAGACCTTCCACCACCTGGCGGCCCGCGCCGTCATCCGCGACTTGGAGCAACTGGCAGAGCGAGAGGACGAAATCGAGCAAGGTGAGCCCCTTAAGCAGGGTGCCCCTTCCTCGAAGCCCAGCCTTAAGCCCCGCCCATACTCTCGGCCCCTCCCACCCCGGCCCCGCCCCATCCCGGCCCCGCCTCCCACCCCGCCCCCACCCCCCTCAGCTCTCCGCTCCCGGTTCTAGTGTCCTTCTCTGTGTAAGGGACCACCGCCAGGGGCGCCATCACTCCCCATCCCACGGCTGTCTACCTCCCATTCCCTCCACCCCCCCCCAGCTCTGTGCTTTCTCCACAATCTGCCCACTCCATGACCTCCAAGTGCCTCTCTTCCCCCAGCTTGGGCATCCCCAACCCCCACCCACCCGCCTCTTTCCCTCCCCTCATTGCTAGAGCTTCTCTCTCTCCCGCCTGCTTTCCCTCCCCTCATTGCTGGAGCTTCTCCCCTGAAGCTCCCCCGTAGGGCCCCGAACACTGATCTGTGGCGGTAACCTCTGGAGTAGCCACCTGCCACGCCCCTCTCAAACAGCTCCTTCCCCAAGATATCCCTGGGCTCCTCGGTCCACGCGCTACCCCTGGCTGGGGCCAGGCTGGGGGCTGGGGCTGCAGAGCCACCGGAAAGCGAACAGTGAGGTCAATCAAGCGGCCCCGGCCCCCTCCTTCCTTACACGCGAGTGCTTGGCACAGACTAGCAGAGAAGCTGACAGCAATTAAACAATTACACCAATAATTAATTGAGTGCATTTGTCCTGAGTGCTATTAAGCACAAGTACAGGGCTTGCAACCCTTTGTTTAACAGGGATGGCGGGGAGGTAATGTAGTCCAGACACCCGGGCGGACTTTCCTCCCAGGGCGCTGGGAGATCTAGATAGAGCACGCATATGGAGAAGAGGTAGTGATGTAAACGGAGAAGCAGCGTTGTGGATTTCTTCGTCGGGGGTGTATGCTTTATGTGCACCATATGTAGTGTACATTTTATGTGTACTTTTCAATAATGCATGTTATTTTTTTTTTTTCTTGCCGTGAATACTTCATCTTGCAGGTTACGCAGCAGCAGCAGCGTTTGTCAGGCTTCACACTCTCGGGCCCCTGGCCCAGCCTTCTGCAGGAAGCAGCCAGGGGACTACTCGCTGCAGCTGAAAGGGGGTGAGGGTCACAGCGCCAGGCCCTGTACCTGCTCTATGACCCTACGCACCTCTGATTTTCAGCCCTCTTGGCACTGTAGTGGGTGCTTTGCACCCACCATCCGGGGACCTGTGAAGTCCCCAGGCAAGTTTCCCAACAGACTTTTGCAAACTTAAAATATAAAATACAGACACTATAGAGTTTAAAAATACCTAAAGTTATTTAAGAGAATTAACTCTTTCATTCTACGGTAATGACTTACTTTTTTATTAACGTATCCTTTCTTTTGTAACATAATGTGAAATGATGGTGGGTTTTCTCTTAATGTCTTTAACTAGCAACTTGCCGCCTGCTCGATTTTAAGGCCTATTTAATCCCAAAAATGGGAAGCGCTGGCCGCACTCTGCTCTCAGCTTCCAGAACTTCCCAGTCAGGCAACACAGTGGAGCCCAAACACTGACCCCTGTCCCTCCCCCGCAGGGTCCAGTTGCCGCTACCAGGTGAACGCTGTGCACACTAGCAAGGCCTGCAATGTCATCAGCAAGTACACAGCCTTCGTGCCCGTAGATGTGAGCAAGAACCGGTACCTGCCCACGGCGGTGGAGTACCCCAGCTCAGGTAAGGCGCAGGGGGGCTGGGCAACCCTGAGGGCCATGCAAGACCCCATGAGCTGGAGAAAGGGCTAAGCTACAAGAAGGGGTGCAAAGTGGGGCCTGGAAACAGAAAAGGCCCCCCTGAAAATGATTTGACTACTATGGGGTAAGGGACATGAGGGATCCCACCCCCACCCCCTCTTTTCCCTGCTAAATGAAAATAACTTTATTTTTTCCAGTAAGGTCAATGAATAATATGTGTTCCTTGTAGAAAACTGCAAAATATAGAAAGATATAAAATTAAGGGCCAGCCAAATAGCTCAGTAGATTAAAGCACAGGGGGGCAAGTGGGGGGAGGGAGGTTTGATCCCCAAATCTGCTGTGTCGACCTGCCCCCGGGTTGCCCTGAGAGGCAATTGATACTGGGCATGGTAGGAAGTGCCTGTAATCCCAGCTCTTGGGAGGCTGTAAACAGGCGGATCACTACAAGTCCGATCTAGTAGTGAGACCCTGAACACTCTGTAGACCCTTCCTTAAAATACAAAATAAACAAATAAATAAAATTAATGAAAATGACGGGACCAACAGTCATCTAGAAGGAGTACTGGTTACCTTCTTGGTGTGACCATTCCTTCTAGATATTCTTGATTGAGAAATCAAGACAGATAATGTTACAAAATACAGGTATGTAGAAGTCTGTCCTTGAAGTGACTATCCTAATGTTAATAGCTGAGGTGTGCTGCACTGCAATACTATGCTCCTTTTTAAGGGCCAAATTGCAGACTAGTGTTTTCTGGAAGTGGGGTTCCCTAAACACACTCTGAGGGGTTTGGCTTTGTGTCTCTTCCATCTACCCCTATCAGCAATGCTGTATTGTGGGAGAGGGAACCAGGACATGGGACTCTGTGACAGCAATCACAGAGAGGACAGAATGTCCTCAAGAAAACCTGCCTTTTAACTAATGAGAAAACATTTCTGCTTCCCTTACATCTCAGCATTGACAAGACAGGGATTCTTGTCCCTTCATATAGGGATTCTTGTCCCTTCAGATAAGGCTCAGAGTGATTCAGGTCCTTCCCCCTAAAAAAGATGGGACGAGGGCTGAAACTTGGGTCTTCATGACTCCAAAGCTGAAGGTGTTGTCCTAGGAGAACTGGAAGCCTGAAGCCAAAGTGGTTCCCTCCAGCCTCGGGGAAGAGTCAGGGACTCTAGACCCATCCAATCCCTTCTCTTTGTCCTCCAAGGTGTTACGCATCGGATGGGCAGCTCCGGGGTGCTGACCCGACAGTGGAGGGGTGCATCTGCGGGCTTTGGCCGGCCCCAGACCACACTGGGAGAAGACTTGGCTGTGGGAGATGGCACAGTTCAGACCCTAAGTAAGAGTTGCCTTGGGTGTGCTCAGAAGCCTGAGACCCTGAAGTTACTGCACCACCACCACCCCACCACCACCCAAAGCCCTGCAGGACTCTCTGTGGCTAGGTCCAGGGCTAGGTCCAGGCCTCCCAGGCTCTCTGAAGGCCTAAGGTGATCAGGAGACTGTGTAGCTTGAGTCTGGCACCATTGACATGGTCTCTAGGCAGAGAGCTGCTGAGGGTGGGGTGGGGATGGGGAGGGCCACCCTACACAGCTCCTCTTCCAACCCCTACTGTCCTAGTGACTGTTCCCACCCTCCGTCCTCTGGGTCCTTCCAGGCTTGAAGTGCTAGACACCCAGTAAAGATGGGGTGAAGGAGCAAGGAGCAGAGATGCAGGCCCATCTGGTTGGGTCCCACCACATTTTCCTTCAGGTTTCCAACAGCTTCCTCCTGGCCCTCACCTGGTCACATTGTGGGTGCAGCTTAAATCAGAAGCCATCAATTGACCTTTGTGTGGCCTCACACTAATGCATGGGATGGCCATAGTGCATCTTGTATGCATGCATGTCCTTTGGCTCTCTAAAGGCAGCCTGAGTTGTGCGCTGGTCCTGACCCTTTCCTGCTGCTTCACTGGCACAGTGAAGATGTCACTGGGGCTCCCATCTGGCCACCAGCCACACTTAAGAATGCTTGACCCAGGGCCAGAGAGATAGCTCAGTAGAATTAGCGCCTGCCTGGCAAGCACAGGGTCCTGAGTTCAATCCCCAGGACTGGGAAAAAAATAAAATAAAAAATGCTTGACCCAAGGGGCTAAGAAGTCCTCACAGAAATCGGTGGGTAGAAAAGAAATACACTGGGCAATGGTGAACACACAGAGTTTCTCTTCAAAATAAAGGCGTTCTGCGACCCCTTGTTTCCATGAGATTCCAGGCCCCAGGGAAACCCACTCTATCCCTGAGCCACATTGAGCTTGAGGAATTTCCCACCCACCCTTTCTTTCTCCCCCGCTCAGCTCTTGCTGACCTGTGGCTTCCATCAAAATAACTTCAGTTAATCTGATCTCCAAACCATTATTCTGCCCCTCCCCTGCCCCTCCCCAAGGAAGATATGGCCCACACAGAATTTTCTATGCACCAGGCACTGTTCTAATCACTTACAGTGCCTCACAAATATCTCAAGAGTTTCCTTTATTAAAAATCAGAAAACTGGGGCTTGCAGTGATTAAGTGGTTCTCAAAGGTCACACAGCTAATGTGGGATGGAGCCAAGGCTTGACCCTAGTGTTTGTCCCTGAGGCCATGAGGTTAGGCATCCTCCTATTTGTGTCCTGGTTGCCTTGGGCATTCCACCATTCCATCTATAGTTCAGCCATGTGCTGGGTGCTTAGAATAACAAAGAGAACTCCCCCTTGGGTAATGGTCTCACGTTGATGAGCTTTGCTCACTATAGTTGTACATGAAGGTTTTCCTATAATTTGGACCTTCCCTTAAAAGGAAGTTGTCCCATTCGTCTAACCCTTGAAATGGCAAATGGAAGAATAATCACCTCAAGTATGCATTTGCACATAGGCTATGCAATTATTATTCCCATTCTGCAGATGGGGAAACTGAGGCTTGGAGCTCTCCAAGTCAGTGTCACTTCTGGTGCCCATGGGGAGTTGGCATGAGCCACCTCTTTAGCATGGCAGAGATCTGGGAAGGAGATGCCTAACCTTCACTCCAGCCCCTAGTCTACTCTGAAGCCCCTGAACCTATGCCTGCTTCCCTGCTGGCTCTGAAGTTCTGGGTTTTCTTGGGCACTTAGCTGAATACTAAGCACTGTGTATTATCTCATTTAATCCTTGAAGGACACTGTGAGATAGGTACCACATTAGTCCCACTTTGCAATTAAAACTTAAAAAGAAAATAACTTCACTGGGGCCCAGAGCTAATCAGTGGGAGAGTTGGGATTTGAACCCAGGCATGGGAGGGGAGAACAGGAAGGCCAAAAGAGATCAGGCCTCACTGATTTTCTGTGTTGTAGCCACAGAGGAAAGCCCAACTTCACCCTTCAGTGAGCTCCTGTCCCCCAGCCGAGAGAAGCACACAGCTTCGGAAGGTAAGTGGAAACTGGCGCACTCTCTGAGTGCCATTGGTGTCTGTGGCTGGACCTGGCATCAGGAGAGGGTCTGAGCACCAGCCAGGCTCTGAGTCCTGTGGATGCCACAAGACAGCCCTCTACAGAGAGGGAGAGAGGGTGCTCCCGACGGGGAAGCTGAGGCTTGAAGTGGGGAAGTGGCTTGCCCGATGTCACACAGCGAGCTAGTGACAGGCAGGTCTTCTGGGTCCAAGCTGAGGGGTCCCTGCACTACTGCACTCCAGCCAGCGTCCTCCAGCCGTGCCCCATTCACTGGCTGCCACCACCCCCATAGGAGGACTCCCAGAAGGTGCCAGCGGCCACCTGCCAAGAGCACACAGAAGCCGGCTTCTTACATGTTTCACCCTCCCGTATACCAGCTGGGTCAGAAACATCCCCACAGCTGGTTAGCCTGGGTCCCTGGGGACATTGGGAGCCCCTGCCCCACCCAGGGTCAACAGGTCACCTGTCGGGCCACCTGTCAGGCCTCACACTGTCCTTTTGTGGCCCTCCAGGTCCCCTGCACAGCCTGCCCACCAACACCCTTTCCTCCACGAAGGCCTCAGAGACTCTCTTTGGATCTAAGTAAGTGGGATTTCTGGTGAGGGCCTGAAGCTCTGCTGCCTCCCACCTCCCCCAGATGTCCCCAGCCGGGTAGCCAGAGGCAGGCCAGCCTTATGTCTGAATGTGTGCTGAGAAGGTCTCCTGCCCAGCGGTATTACCACCCTTTGGGTCTCACTCTCTGCCCCACACCCACACTGTGGTTCACCTCCCACAGGCCCACGGTCTCTTCAAACACAAATACTCTGGGAGGCCTAGGCTAGGACTGTTCCCATCACTGAGCTAGACAAGGTTACAGTACTAAAAGAAGGAACACACCCATGCCTTGTCCTGCTGCTGATAACTTGCTGAGGGACGTGGAGGTAGAGGCCATCCTCTGTCCACAGGCCTCCTTTGCTCAGCCAACAAGTGAGGAGAGGAAGGAGGGGGAGGCCTTCCACTGGATCTTTCTTGCCCTGGCTTTCAGAAGTTTCTGGGCAGGTCCAAGGAAGCCCAGATGGTGAGGGACACCTGCCTCTCCCCTCGCAGGCTGAATTTCAACAAGTCCAGGCTGCTGACTCGAGCAGCCAAGGGCTTCCTGGGCAAGCCGCTCACCAAGGCAGCGGAGTCCACCTCAGGAACCCAGAGCTTTGACTATGTCCCTCTGGTAAGTGCCCCAGACCACCGCCCACCCTAATGGGCAGCCCGACCTTCCTGGGCACCTTGCCCACTTGTCCCCAAAAGAAAGGGAGACCTTGCCCTAAGCAGAGATCCCCTGATTTCTGGGGCTCCTAGAGCTTCCCACACAAGTATCCAACAGGGTAGAGGGATTTGGCATGAGTCCTATGCTGGGGTCTAGGGGTGTTGCTGGAAGCCAGTGCCAGTGTCATAAAATTTCTGTGCCATCTGCTGTTTCCCCCTGAAAAACGCCTTTGATTTTGCATTTTTCTCCATCTATGTGTGTTTTTCAGTACATAAAAATAAGCCTTGAAATGACTCACAAGTGAGTAAAATTAACACCCCAGGGACATGCACCATGTTTAGCAAGTGGCTCTGCAGACGCCCCAGCACGCTGTGGCGGGAGAGAAGTACAGGTCTGGAGTGGGCTTCTCTGAACTGAGAACAACACAGAGGGACCCTGCAGCAGCTGGGGTCTTCCAGGGTTTACAGGTCATGAAGTGCTCAAAGGATGGGAATGATTTTCACTTGAGTGTACCCAAGTATACAGCATCATTTTGAATCTCCGGATTTCCAGGGCAACACTGAGTCAGGCTCAGTGCTAGACACTAGGGAGGCATCCTTGAGCAAGAGAAATTTAATCCTTGAACTCATGGTGCTAAGTGTCCAGTGAGGCACAGACAAGGAACCCAGCAGTTCTACACCTGGGGGCTGTGAGAGGAGATGTCTGGTTTGGAAAGGTTTGGAGGGGGAATGTGGGGTTGACCCAGGGCTGAGGCGAGGGCAGTGGTAGCACTAAGCATGACTTGGTTAAGCTAATGACATAATGGCTAAGCCAAGACCTGATGGGTGAGGAATTCGAAGGCAAAGGACAGCTTGGTGGCTAGAGTTTGAGTTGAGGAGTGGGCCCAGGATAAACAAGGCCAGGCTAGGCAAGGCTTTATAGATTGAGTTTTAGACTTCAGTTCTGAGAGATAACTGAAGCCATGGAACTGAGTCTCCAGGAAGTATATGATGGGTGGCTTGTTGAGATCCTCTGATGCACAGTAGGGGGACTGAGCAGGGAAAAGGAGGAAAGGGAAGCAGGGGTAGCTTGAGGAGGAGGCAGTGGGTAGACTGCAGGGTGACTTGGAAGCAGACCTTAGGAGTAGATGGGTGTGTGGGGAGAAGATGACAGCTGAACAGCCAGAGTCTTTGGGATGAACCTGGACTGTCCCCATGGCCACACTCGGGCTACCCACCCAGGGTGAGGGGCAGGTGTGGAGCGCAGATGCTGAGCTTGGCTTGGAGAGCAGTCCATCAGAGGCTGCAGGCTATCGAACAGAGAGGTTCTGTGGCTTGTGTCCTCCTGAAACTTCCCCAGGTAGGCAGGCTGGGGTGCGAGATGCTGGGGTGGATCAGGGACTGCTGCATCCCCCGAGGCTCCATGGGCTAAAATGTGTGAAGCCTACTGAGGGGTTCCCCCACCTACAGGTGTCTCTGCAGCTGGCCTCCGGTGCCTTCCTGCTCAACCAAGCCTTCTGCGAGGCCATCCACATCCCCACAGAGAAGCTTATGCGGACCTCACCTTTCTCTTGCCACCGAGTGTCCCTCTCTGCCCGTCCGCTGTGCACCGGCCCCTCACCTCCGCACCTGTCCTGCGACAGCATTTCTCTGGGGCCTCTGGCTGAGGGCAGGCCGGGATCAGAGCCCACAGCACTGGTGGAGCACACAGGAAAGCTGTGGGCCACAGTGGTGGGGCTGGCCTGGCTGGAGCACAGCTCGGCCTCTTACTTCATTGAGTGGGAGCTGGTGGCTGCCAAGGCCAACTCATGGCTGGAACAGCAGGAGGTGCCTGAGGGCCACACACAGGCCGTGCTCAAGGCTGCTGCCCGCCAGCTGTTTGTGCTCCTACGGCACTGGGATGAGAACCTGGAGTTCAATATGCTCTGCTATAACCCAAATTACGTGTAGAGGGGGCAAGGTTGGTAGGGGAGAGCGGTGGGTATCTAGGCCTGGTGGGCGAACATTAGTTGGGAGGCCTGAATTCCATCCCAACTCTGCTACGACCCAGCTGTGCAACCTTAGGTCAGTCCCTGTCCCTGTCCCTGTCTGGGCCTCAGCATCCTTATCTGTCAAATAAGAAGCTGAGATGAGGTGGTAGGATGAGATCTTTCAAGGGTTCGAATGTTCCTTTCTGCCCCAACTTTCAGGCAATCCTGGGGTTTAGTGCTACTTGTCAAGCCTGAGTTTTCTCTGGAGGAAGACCATGAGGGCATGGAGTAGAGGCAGCAGTCTCCCCAATAAAGGGCCAATGAGGGAACCAGTGACTAAAGTAACCAGACCTACAAGCCTACACCCAGGCACTGAGGGATCCCCTCTGTCTGTTACACTGGGGGCAGGCTTTCATTTCCAAGGTGACAATCTAGGACGGCCCACTTCCCTCCTCAAAGCCAACTGGAGAAGCTTCCTTCCCCACACTTTCCAAAATTGCTTGTGGGTTTTTCTCTGGGCAAGGAAACGTTTTAGTTCTGGTTTGCAGATTTCTGAGGCTTCCTAAAGAGAGGTGGTAGACAGAATTCAAGCAGCTAGAGACCCTGCAAGCCAAAGTATTACATCGATGCTTCAGTCTGTGCCGAAATGATCCAAAGAGGCAGACATGCTCACAGAAGCCAGGGAAGACAGCAGCAGATGACACCTGAAATAATGTACGTACGTACTTTAAGGACCCGGATGAAGTGGACTCCATGCGCTTGTGTTGAGAGGCTAGAGCGGCACCGCCATGCACACTGCATTCTGGGATAGTGGAGTCCCTTTAACCAGACCGCGCTGCAGGAGAAAGGATATGTTTGCAACAGAAAATAATGCTTGACTGCCGTGCATTTGGGGGTGGTTACTTCAGCTGGATAGCCTGAGTGGTTTGGCAAAGTGAAAGGACTGTGAACCATTGAAGCTGGAACCCCTGGGGCTCCCCCACTACAGTCCTACCGCATGATACGCATTGGTGTGCCCAGCCTCTGATTCACTCAGGACTAACTGCCCAGTTGCCCTTGCCCTAAGGACTCCTCAGACATGGGCCTGGGCCCCCACGCTGAGTTGATATACCCCGAATCCCTCTTTCCAAGGCCTTAGCCTCTCAGCAAATTCCTTTCCCAGGAACGGTCCCAGGGCCTTGACATGAAGGCCCATAGACATCCTTTTTTGTTGTTTTGGTGGGAGCGGGGAGGTTGTGGTGTGGTTCTGGCATAAATCCCAGCTTCATGAAGACTCAGGATGGCCAGGCTCCTGCAGGAGCCAGAGGGAGAGAGGAGGCTCCCACAGACTGTCAGCGGGTGTCAGTGTGACCAGGTGTGGTGCCCTGGTCCTGCCCCATCCTGCCCACCTGCCAAGGTGCAACTGCTCCCAGCAGGGCCCCTGCAGCCCTCATAATCCTTGCTTCACTGGTTGGCTGGGCTCCTCTGGGAGGAACCCAGCCAGCCAGGCCCTGCTACTGTGACACCGTGACTCCACTGGGACAGGATGCCAGGCCGGAGCGTGGACTCAACATCAGTGCCACCAGGGAGGATGAGAGCTTTAGGTTGTCTTCCTCAAGGCCCCAAAGAGGTGTCAGGACATCAGTGTCATCTCCCTGTGTTCCTCCTTCTCCTCCCCCATTTCATCCCCTACTTCTTCAACTATGAAGCCCTAGCTTCAAAACAGGGATGGAGGGGGTGGCATTTACTTCCTGGTCCACTGCTGATGGAAAATTGGCAGGCTTTGAGTCAGAGCACCTGGGCCCAGATCTCAGCCTTGATTAGCATAGGCAGTGGCTTCACCCTGCTGGGTTTTCTGGAGCTGGGGTCTGTGCATTGCTCTGACATTCCCAGGTGACCTGCTTCTAAATTTGTCCCTCTCAGTGAACATGTATTTGCTCCACTTCTCCATATGAACTTTAACAAGTCCTTGCTATGGACAATGACTAGGGCTTGAGACACCCCGCCCCTGCCCACCATGACAGTACATAAGATACCTAGATGGAGTGACCCTGAAACTCAGTAAGGTGGTAAACACATCCTCCCCTTCTCCACCAAGTTCCTCAGACCACGCCCCAGCAGCAGCAGTTGAAACTCAGTGATATGTCTGATACAAGATCAGTACCACTGCAGGACCGCTGCCAAGCACCCAAGAACAAATTCTTTGCAGTCTCAAGTGACCCAAGGGCTGTGCAGGGACATCTAGACAAGAGGCATTTTTAAGATGATGCCAGTCCTATAGAGATGATTCACAGCCTCAGGAATTTGCTGCCAGCATTACCAAGCAGAGGACTGGAGAGTCTCCCTTGAAAGACAGGATAAGAGCCTTGGACAGTGAGCATCTGGCTAGGGCTAAAGGGCTTGCAAAGGACCTCCCATGTGCAACACATCCCATGCAACCTGGGAAAATTTGTACGCATCTGATTTAATTTGTTAAACTAGCCCTTGGCTTCTTAGTCAAAGGCCCTGCACTGTCTGAAGAAATGCTAATGGCTGCTTTAGTGGGAAGCAAGCTGAATCAAGAATTGGAGGGGCCTGAGGGTTAGCCCTGAACCCACTAGCAGCAGGCCGTGTGACCTCTAGCAAATCATATGTTTCCTCCAAGGCCCTGGATCACCTTTTGTGGAATACTGGGCTTACACCAGATCAGTAGTTCCATCCCTGTTGCTCAGGTGAGATGTGAATAAGCCACCCATGGAAAACTGTCCTGTGGGCGAGTGTGCAGGGAGACACTGGAAGAACAGGTTGCTTTAGGTTAGGATTTCACATGTAGATCCAGAGAGGTGGCCCAGATGTGGTTCTTCCAGGTTGCTCAGCCAAAAAACGCTGGTCTAGATCTCCCCGGGGGTTCTCTACTCACTGACATCCACCAGCCCTTACGGAGTGTGTGCCAGATTATAGGGGCAACTGCTGTGAACATGCTAGATGCTCTCTCTGCCCCTGTAGAGCCTGGCAAGAAGCCCTTGAAGAGCCTCTTCCATGATACATCTTCCCTTTCTCTGGAGTTTCCAGTGGCTTTCTCCTGACCAATCACACTCCCAAACCCCTGGTCCTGCCATGCTGGGGATGGCTGCAGACAGGCACTGCCTGAATGCCATCAGCACTGAGCCATCCTGTGAGCTCACAGACACTCACTGATGGTTTGGGTACAGCTGGCCATAACACTGCTTGGTGCTGGGTAGTCAGCGGAGCTCCCAGGTAGACCAGGGTAGTTCCGGAAGTGGGGTTCCTGAGGGTCAACTGCCTGCCATGCAGAGACGCAGAACCCTGTCACTGAGTCCTCTCTCAGTAGAAGAGACCATCTCTGGACCCCAGGGAAGCTAGTCCCTTCCCTCAGGAAAGCTCAGCTCACACTTTTGAAGAAGCTGCTCTGTTTCCTGCCTGCACCTGTGTTTCCCAGCCATCCTGGCCTTCAGACACAAAAAATGGCACCCCCTGTGCCCCCGACCTGTGCTGGCACTTGTCACAACTAATGAAGGGAGCAGCTGGTTCCAAGTTCAGCCCTGCTGGGTTTTCCCCTGCAGTTCTTGTGTGTGAGAAAACAAGGGCTCCCTTCCTCCCTTCTAGCTGGTTCACCTATCCCCTGGGAGCCTCCTCTAAATCCTGATCATACCCAGCTGAGCCCCACCCTTGTATTGGAAGGCCAGCTTGCTTCCTCTGTTGGCTACTGTTTTCCTTTTTCTTCCTCATCTGGACCTCTGAAGGACAGGGAGTGAGGAAAGGGGTCTCCTCCACCTGCTAGAACCCTGTAACACCCCAACACTCACCACTCCACATGCTGCCTCTCACTACTTGCACATTGTCACATCTCCAAGTGACCCCAGACATAAATATTCAGCATCTGCAATGCCCTGGGGAGAGAAAGGGAAGAAACTGCCACCCCAAAAACAGACTGTATTTTTATTGCCAAAGCACCTGGGAAAGGTCTTCTTTTTTCCCCCTCAAGAGACTAAAGAAGTCAGCAATGACAACAACAAGAGCAGCAGCAAAAATGTTCACATCCCTCAGCTGTAACATAGCATACTCCACAATGCCAGTGTAAAAATAACTAGGGCAGAAGCGTGTGTGGCATTCTGCAACTGGATAATCTGATCCACAGAGATCTGTCCCCAGGTCAAGAGCTTGGCAGCGCTGCCTGGCCAGGCCTCCAGCCCATACTGTGGAGCACCCTAACCCTTATGTCCAGCCTGCCCCAGGCCGCTGACAGAGTCTGTCCACAGCACTGCCTCCCCGAAGTCCCCTAGCGAAGGCAGGTTTCTCCTGTCCATGCTGCAGTTCTCCTTGGCCCAGAGCCAGCTGTCTTGAACTTACAGCTGCTTCCAAGGCAAAGCGCCTTGTCTCAATGTGCTCACTGTGGCGACGTGTGTGGTATAGTTTTACTATTTGCCCAGGTGGCTTTGGCTCACATGGCATGGCCGGTGCTTGTCCCTGTTGGAGCCTCAAGTGCCTATAACATGCTGTCCTGTCCCTTCACCTGCACACAGTAATGTCCCCACAGTGCCTGTGACACTTCTTGTTCTTGGAATATACATCACCTGTCTGTCCGGTGGCCAATTATGTAGATGTTGTGCAGGGCCTGGACCTCAGCTGTCTAATGCCCACAATCCTGTGCGAATTCCACCCTTGGGCTGTTTGTGTCTGTTCTCAGAGGAATGGCTTCTTTGTCTGTGGTGGCTGCTGTTCTCCTGTAGGCTTTGAGCTCATAAAAATTGTCAACATGGCAAAATTATACTTGTGTCTGCTCTTTTGTTCTCAAAGCCCATTAATACCTGGCTTTCAGTGATTCAGGGATCTGTTTGCCTTTTCAGTGAGTCACTTCTGTCATGGTTTGGGTTCCTCCTAAGGTGGCCAACTGTCCCGGTTTGCCTGAAACTGGGAGAGACTGCCACAGTGTGGGACTTTCAGTTTTAAACCTGGGATAGTCCTGACCCAACCGGTACAGGTTGGTCACAGTGGTGCCCCCAGCAGAGCCTGAGATAAGGATCCAGCACAGCCTACTCGGGTGACCCCAATAATACCCTTGGAGGAGTACGGGAGTGAAATAGAGGCATGAAGGACGCTGATGAAGGGAAGGATCCTTAGCAGGTTATTGCTAAGGCATCAGTGGAGGAATGGGGTGCGTGCGTACCAATGCCACTCAGTCATTCACTGGGGCCACTCTGGGCCACCCATTCCTTGGTGCAACTTCAGGTGCTACCTCTGGTCTACCTCAGATGTCCCTCTCAGCAGGTTCCTGGAGCCTGAGAAAGCCACTGGGCAAACAAACACGTCCTGGCAAAAGGAGAACGTGACACAACATCTAACATGACCCCCCTCAACCCCTGCACCTCCTCTGCACATGTGATGGAGGCAAACTTTCAGCCTCTTCAGACTGGAATCTCCAGGCACACTATGCTATTCTAAGACCTCTGAAATAATAAATGACCAGGAAGCCTTATTATTGAAACAGAGGAGATCTAAATGACAAAAGGTAAACTCATAGTTTCCATACTTTTGATTTAGTTTGAAGTCAGCAAGCTGAACTGTGAAATTGATTTTTTTGAGTTGGAAAAAAAAAAAAAGAAAGAAAGAAAGAAATGTGGGTACCAGCAGAGGCAGGCCCACGTGCACTGCACTAAAATAAGCCGAGTGGCCGCGCAAGGCACTGACAAAACCTGCTACCACCTCTCCCCTGAGCTGCTTTTCCGCATGACAGACTTTTCTCTCACCAAGTGTATTTATTCACTCAATAGATTTATTTAAAATAAAAATGGCATGTGGTCCCGGGATCCCCACACAAACTGGCTCCAAAGTCATATATAAGGTTCATTTGGAAATCCTGTTGCAACTTATGTTGTTTCTTCAAAGACGGTCATCCCTTTGGAGATTTCAGGCAGAAAAGTTGACTCAAAGGAATTTCCAGGGGGTCGAAGACATTTCTGCAGCATGCCAATGGCCCTCACAGGAACGACTTGAGTGGCAGTGGGCTGGAATTAAATGGTCAACATAACCCTGCCCACCAGCACAGACCCCCCCTCCAGGATGATTTCAGCTTCAGGACCAGAGGCCCCTGAAGACGCCTCCCTGAGTTATCCGAATGGGATACATTGCCTTTGGGAGAAAGATGGGTCTTGGTTCTCCTATTGGGCCCCCTGTAAAAAGCAGGGTGCATGCCCATGCACACGCATGTGTGTGTGTATGTGTGTGTATACACACACATGCATGCACATGCATGTGTATGTGTGTGTATACACACACGCACATGCACATGCTTAACAATAAGCCTCTGCCCAGCTCTCCCATTAGGAAGAGCATGCTGAAGAAAAAAGGGGCTCAGGACTCAGGCCCTCTCCAGAAACCAGTGCCTGATGTTTCTAAAGCTCCCAGGTCTTCCTTTCTGTTGTACCCAGTTCCCTCCAAAAACGTGGGCTCCCTGGCTCAATGCACTGTTATCCTGGTATGAGATGAGGAGGAAATACCAAGGGCCCCAGCTCTCCTCTTCAAAGCTCCCTAGTTCTGCTGTGGAGCCTCCATTGCCCTCATCTCTTCTGAGCATCACTAGGAATCCACTGATCATAAATCTGTCCTGGAATCCAAATCGCCTGCACCTGAAGTGCAACTCCCCCAGATCCAGGGCCCTGGAGAAAGCAAGGGACCCACACTCCCTATGATGCATTGAAAATGGATCAACTGGGGTCACACTAGCTGGGGGGACCTTTCCTAGCCCGGGGGGGGGGGGGAACAGGAGCCCTAGGATGGTGGCTGATCCCAGCTCCTGAGCCTCCAGTCAGATGGCTGAAAGGAGGTCTTCACAATGGCTTCCCCAGTCGTCCTGAGATGAAGCACTCTCAAGGCCCTGGGTCCTCCAGGGGCTGGCCCAGTCCTCATCTCTGCACTGGTGGCTTCAGCAACTAGATTTCCCCAGAACAGGAAAACACGAGCTGTCTACACAGATGGCCTAGCTGTCTACACACATGCCCCAGTGCTGCCCTGGCTTTCCAGCAGAGGGCGTGGTGGGCGTGCACTGCCTTCCCAGCCCTGGGCATCACTCGCTGGCATGTGGGGAGCAGTTTGAAAGCTATTCCTGTCCTCTGCCAACAGTCTTTCTTCTCTACTAAAAACAAGTGCCTCGTGATGGCTAGGAAGCCTACTGAAAGGCTGTGCTGGTAACGACTCTGCCTGGGGGGGTCCAGATACCAGACTGGCTAGAGGCCGGCTGCAAAGGAGACAGTGACCAGTTGGTCTGTTCCTTTTCCCCTCCTCCTCCTCTCCACCATACTCTCTCTCTCCCTCTTCCTCACACCTCATGCAAGGTCCATTTCTTTCAGGAAACTCTCTCAGACCTCTTCCAGTGAGGGGCATATTTTATTAATGTGGTGTGAGGGTGTGAGTGTGTGTTCTGCCACCCTTATCAGACTCAAGGGTCTCCAAGGACAGAGATCTGTTCTGCATCAGACAGGGGGAATCTCTGATGGAAGAGGCTGTGCCCTCTTTGAGCTCCAACAGCACCCATCTTGGCACTGTCTGCAGGTGCTAATCAACCTGGACGGCCCTCCTACCCACCCACTCAGGTCCACCACCCCCTTACCCACTCCGCTTACCCATGAGATGACCGCAAGTTCCCCAAGCTTTGCATAGTCGGCAGGAGAGAGTTCAGATTTGCTCAGGGGAATGGTGGACCCTCCAGGAGAAAACAGAAAAAGGGGAAGGAATAAAGACCCCGAGTTCCTTCCCTACACGCCCCCTGCTGTGCCTTAGCAGTCCCCTCCCCCTCCCTCGCCCCCCCATCCACACCATCACCGACGGCCCTGCCCTCATCACTGTTCACGTGTGCTGCTTACTGCAGCCCCACCCTATTCTCCTTGTCCCCAGGTTGGCCTCTTTGCATCCAGGGAAACCTTTTAAAACATGCTCACTGGCCGCCTGCCACCTACAGAATGACAGTCTAGCCTTTTAGCCTGATAAATGAAACCTTTCGCCACCTCAGGCAACTTCGTCTTTGGGTCTCCCTTCTTCCATTCCCTGGGTGTCACACTGGGGATCATTTCCTCAAGAATGATGACCTGAGTTACTTACTACATATCAGGCTCTGTTCTAGACTCTGGAATACAGTGATAAGTAAAACAAAGTCCCTGGCTGGATAGGCTTTGCTAGGGCTCCCATATCAAAGCACAACAGACAGGGGGCATAAGCAACAGACATGTATTGTTTCTCAATTCTAGAGACCGGAAGTCAAGCATGAAGGTGACATCAGGTGCCTTCTGAGGGCCGCAAGAGAAGGATCTGTCCCTGGCCTCCCTCCCAACTTCATAGCTCCTGGGGTACACCAACAGAACCCTGCCTTCAGATAGCATTCTTGCAGCTGCCTGTCTTCAAAGACCCCCTTCTCAGATGATACCAGTCATACTGAATTAAGACCTACTCTTTTTTTTTAATTTTTAGGGAAGGGTCTACAGGGTGTTCAGGGTCTCACTACTAGATCGGACTCATAGTGATCTGCCTGTTTACAGCCTCCCAAGAGCTGGGATTACAGGCCCGCACCACCACGCCCAGTCTCAAAGGCCCGCTCAGCATGCCCTGGGGGCGAGGCCAGAATGGCAGGCCCAGGGATTGAATCCCCTGCCCCTGTGCCTGCTTGCAGGTGCTTTAATCCACTGAGCTATTTGGCCAGCCCAAGGCCCACTTTAGTGACCTCATTTTTATCTTAATTTCCTCTTAATGGTCCTATCTCCAAAGAAGGCTGCAGTCAGAGGTGCTGGAAGTAGAACTTCAACATAGGTATTTAAGGAAAAATTCAACCCAGGTCACACTGCCCTCATGGGGCTGACGATCCAGTGGAGAGAAACAGGCAAAAAACACAAGATCCAGTAAATACACTACTAGGGTAAAGGTGACAGGAAAACAAAGACAGCAGTGTTAGAGGAAAGGAAGAACAGGACCTGGAAGATGCTATTCAACCTGGGACTGTTAGAGCCTCCTGACAACGGGACACAGAAGTAGCCACTGCATTTGCAATGTTCCCCCAAGCAAGTTCTTCAAGTCTGCCATGTTTTTTTATGCATGTATTGGAAATTTCCAAAGCGCAAATGCCTATGATCCTTCCAAGTTTAATGTAGAGCCTGCCTTTTCCAAGAAGGCTTGCGTGCCCAGAGCAGGTAGGGCCTGCAAGCTCTGCACCACCAGGCCTCTGTACTCTGGGCCAGAGCTGTTTCGAGCACTCTTAGTGCTATCTGAGGGCTTTGTGGCTAACCACGCATCTCCCCATCAGGCTGGGAGCAACCCAGGAGCAGAGACGGACTCTCTATCACTCCGAGGCCCTCTTGCAACACCCAGAACCTCCTAGATGTTCAGTAAATGGGCAAAGTTAGAGGGTGACCCATTCTACCCATCTTTAGCAGACAGCCTGAAGTTCTCACTTGAGGACTCCTAACTGGCAGATAGTTCCCCATTGATTCACTTGATCCTCACAACCCTAAGTATCTTTTTGTGGCTTCAGTAACAAGGAAGCTAAAGTTCAGAGACATGTGGTTATCTGCCCAAGATCACCCAGCTGGAAACTAGTGGGGGCAGAATTCGAATGCAGGTCTTCCCATCTCTGGGGCCAGCCTCGACATGCATTCATTCCTTTGCTTCACCTAGGGTG